ACCTCGTGATCCCCCTGCTTCGGTCTCCCAAAGTGCTGGGATTACAGGCATGAGCCACCGCACCAGGCCTAGAGTATATACTTCTATCAGAGGATGTAATCACAGAGCATACACTCCTATCAGGGCATACACTCCTATCAGAGCATAAAATTTAGAGCATATACTCCTATCAGAGTTTATACTCAGAGCATATAATGCTACCAAAGCATAGAATCACAGAGCATATAATCTATCAGAGCATATAATCACAGAGCTTACACTCCTATCAGAGCATATAATCCTATCGGAGTGTATAATCATATCAGAGTATATAATCATATCCAACTTTCTGTGGTAACAATCACTAAGTGGAATAGATATCAAGAGAAAAGAAAGACTGGAGTGGTCAAAGAATCATGAAGAAAACTTCAAGGAGTTAACCTTAAAGTTCAAATGTAAAGGATAAAGTTCTAAAGTTTATTGCTCAACAATGCAAATACAGTTAACATTACTATACACTTAAAAAGGGTTAAGATGGTAAATTGTATGTTACTTTTTTTTTTTTTTTTTTTGAGATGGAGTTTTGCTCTTGTTGCCCAGGCTGGAATGCAATGGTGCGATCTCGGCTCACTGCAATCTCCACCTCCAGAGTTCAAGCAATTCTCCTGCCCCAACTTCTCAAGTAGCCGAGATTACAGGCACGTGCCACCATACCTGGCTAATTTTTGTATTTTTAGTAGAGATGGGGTTTCACCATGTTGGCCAGGCTGGTCTCACGCTTCTGACCTCAGGTAATCCACCCTTTTCGGCCTCCCAAAGTGCTGGGATTAAAGGCGTGAGCCACCGTGCCTGGCCTGTTACATGCTTTTTAACCACAACTGAAGGGGGCCAGGTGCAGTGGCTCACGCCTGTAATCCCAGCACTTTGGGAGGCAGAGGTGGGCAGATCACCTGAGGTAAGGAGTTCAAGACCAGCCTGGCCAACATGGTAAAGCCCTGTCTCTACTAAAAATACAAAAACTACCCAAGCGTGGTGGCATGTGCCTATAATCCCAGCTACTCAGGAGGCGGAGGCAGAAGAATTGCTTGAACCTGGGAGGTGGTGGTTGCAGTGAGCCAAGACAGTACCACTGCGCTCCAGCCTAGGCGACAAAACAAGACTCCGTCTCAAAAAAAAAAAAAAAAAACCCACAACAATTCTGTAATGGTGAGAGAGTAAGTTACTGATAATGCTCAAGAAAGAGGAAGTTAATGGGTCCCCAGTACAGGTTAGAATGAAAAAATCCCTACCAGTGTACATCAAATGTAAAATCAACAAAAGAGTTCATGTATGTGTGCTGGAAGGAAAGTGGCATTTTGGTGTTGGGAGCTGTTACTCAGGGTACTGAATACATATAAACAACAGTCTTTAGTCACTCCCAAAGGTCTGGGATGAGCATTTTTTAACATTTGATACTCTACTAAATTACCTGGACTATGCTGACATGGAAATTCATCTTCCGTTATCCATGGCTCTTCTCCCTGCTCCAACTTAATGATGACATTTGGCTTGGTGATATCACATCCTGTTAATGCGAAAAGAATAACTTGGACAAGCTGCTTGGCTTCAGAATCTCTCAAATGTAAGATGTTGTCACCTCATAAGCTGCATAACAGAAGTGCCCCATTTTTTACCTTATCAAAGTTAGAACCTTTCAATGAATAATAATATAAACACTCCAGCTAGTGCCCACAAAGAATTAAATGGTGTCATCACTTATTTCCTCAAACTCAAGGATAAAACCCCATTCAAGTGAAAGCATTCAGAAAGAAAGCTATCCTCACCCACAGAAACAAGATGGCTATAGTTCTCCAGCATCACATCCCTGTATGTTATCTTCTCATCAGGGTCCAGTTGCTGCCACTCCTCCTGGGTGAAGTCCACTGCCACGTCTTTGAATGACACTGGCCCCTGTAATGGCAACATGATCAGAATTGGGAGATGTGGAAAAGAAATAAGGGGATAACATTTTACAAAGCTTGCTGGTAAAGTTAACCATGAACATTGTATACCTCATGTTACAGACTGTGGAAGCGAAATCATATTAGAAACACATATTCCTTGGGGTCCTTAATATATATACATATAAAACCCCACAAAAATAAAAACTCAAAACACAACTGAGTTCTTATTTTGCAACTGAGCTGAGTTTTTGGGATATAAGATGAGTGAAACACCATGACTGCTCTCAAAAAGCTGACAACCTGATAAGGGGATAAACACATAAACAAACATGAGCATTTTACTCCTTGTCACTTCTTTCAGTCTCCTTTGCTGCCAGACTTGCCCCTTCTCCTGGACCTCTTCAGGCTGGAGTGCCCACCACTCAGTTCCAGGTCTCCTTCTTCCTAACTCGCTGCTCTGGGGCTCTCAATGTTTCAGCTCCTCATTCTTTTGGCTCTTTGACTCTCACAGCCAGTGGCTTCCGGCTATCTGCATGGCTGAGTTTTACCTTAAACATCTCATTCTTGCAGCAATGAATATTCATTAAATGAATGAATGTCCAAATCTGTTATTAGAGTAATGTAGACAAGGGGCAGAATGATTTAACAAAAGAGAATCAAATTATTTTAACTTTATGTCATTAGATTAGGCTTCACAGACTCAGTTAACCTGAAGTTGTTAAAGATGAATTGTGTATTCTATGGGATGAACGGGAAGAAGAATATGATGAGGTGTAAAAAGTACCAATGGCAAAAATGAAGCAGCTTCAATTTTTAAGAGGTTGGGGCTGGGCATGGTGGTTCATGCTTATAATCCCAGCACTTTGGGAGGCCAAGATTGTTTGAGCTCAGGAGTTTGAGACGAGCCTAGGCAACAGAGTAAGATCTCATCTCTGCTAAAAATAAATTAAAAAAAAATTTGGCTGGGCATCATGGCACATGCCTGTAGTTCCAACTACTCAGGAGGCTAAGGCAGGAGGATCGCTTGAGGAAGGTCAAGGCTGCAGTTAGCTATGGTTGCACCACTGCACTCCAGCCTAGGCAACAGAGCGAGACCCTGTCTCAAAAAAAAAAAAAAAAAAAAAAAAAAAAAAAAAAAAAAAAAAAAAAAAAAAAAAAAAAAAAGAAGAAAGAAAGAAAAAGAAAAATGTAAAATTGGGCTCCAGCAATCCACCTGCCTCGGCCTCCCAAAGTGTTGGAATTACAGGCTTCAGTCAGCATGCCCTGCCCAAACGTGTAGTTTAGAAGAAGGAAGTGCCCAATAAGGATAAGGAAGGAATGTTGCATTATTCTATTATTTATAAAGAACATTATCAACAAAGGGTTCAAACCCAGTGATACACCTAAGACCATATAGATCCCAAGAGATAGCAGAGGCAGAGCTGCTAGGCTGGTGGGCTGAGAAACTAAAGCAGAACATCCAAGCTTATCCACAGGCAGGCCACAGGAGCTGATAAAATCACCAAGAGACAGTAATAACCTTCTGGGTTGTTAGTCCAGAAGGCAAGGAGGTGGCAAGGGTTAGAAGACTGATCAACCAATAAATAACACAATATTAAATGCCAATACCACTTACATCAATACAAATACCCAAAATGAAACATAACCAAACAAAATCCAGTACCAGATTAAAAACATAATATACTATAGCCAAATGGGACTTATTCCAAGAATACAGACTAGTTTAACATTTGGAAATCTATTTATATGATATGCCATTATAACAGAGCAAATAAGAAAAATCTTGTATCTGTGAAGATACTTGAAAAAGTTTGACAGAAAAAGCTGATTTTAAAAAAACAAACTGGAGAAAATAGGAACTGATAGATACTTCATTAACATCACTAATATATATATATATACATGTACACACAAATATAAATATTACACCCTAATATGCAATAGTATATATGATATATATGTGACATATGTATTTCAATTACATACACGTACATATGTACAGTTTAAGTTTACACACACACACACACACACACACACACTTACGCCTCAGTCTTCTCAGCCCAAAAAGTCAGGATTTTACTTAGCAGGGAAAAACTACATACCTTCCCACTAATATCAAGAACAAGATATTAATAAAATGCTCATTATCTACAATTAGAGAAGAGAAAACAATCAGAGGAATATAACTAAGAAAACAAAAGTGGTCAGGCGTGGGGTCCCAAAGTAATCCCAGCATTTTGGGAGGCCAAGGCAGGCAGATCACCTAGGTCAGGAGTTTGAGACCAGCCTGGTCAACATGGTGAAACCCCATCTCTACTAAAGATCCCCCCCCAAAATTAGTTGTTATCATTAAGATCAATTTAATAATACCAAGATATCAGTTATCCTAAATTACTTTATAAATATGTGATTCCAATAAAAATAGCAAAAAGCTTTTTCCTGGAATAAGACCTGCTGACATTATAGTTTACATGAGGTAGGACAAAATAAAAAAAAGGTAGGGGAAAAAAACCATTTGGACATGAATAAAACTGTATCCAGGTCAGGTGTAGGGGCTCATGCCAGTAATCCCAACACTTTGGAAAGCTGAGGCAGGAGGATCGCTTGAGGCCAGGAGTTTGAGACTAGTCTTGGCAACATAGCAAGACCCTGTCTCTACAAAGGAAAAAATATATATATTAGAAAAAACATAGATAGAGAGACGTTAGGACTTCTGCCCTCAGTTGTGATAAACTAACAGGTACTGGATATACCCTCCAACCTGAAACAGCACACAAGAACTACAACAACAAAATCAAAACTATAAAGAACTACAACAACAAAATCAAAAACAGAAAGAAACAAAACAGACAACATATCTGAAAAAATGGTTTTCAAGGCACTGATTATCAGGCAGCAGAGCTACCTATGAAAGATGGGAAATAAACAAGGTGAACCATGCTTCTGCCTTGCATGCTTCCAGGCCACAGGGCCGGGAAGAAGAACAGAGGCAGACCTAAGGAGAAAGATTTGCGAGATGGGAAAACGGGGAGGAAATTACAACCCATAAGAAAGAAAAGAACTAGTCAATCAAAACTGGCCCAGAATTGACACAGACTTTACAACTGGCAGAGGGCATTGAGACAATTTATAACTCTATTCCAAATGTTCAAACAAATTGAAACAGGCAAGATATAAAAAAGACCCACACTAACCTTCTACAGATAGAAACTACAATATCTGAAATGAAAATTATACTGGACAAGAGTAACAGCATCGCAGAAAAAAGAGATTACTGAATATAAAGAAAGCAACAGAAGCTACATAAAATGAAACAGAGAAAAAAGAATTAAAAGCAAATAAAGACCAACAGTGTATTGTGGGAAAATTGCAAGTGGCCTAATATACAGGCAACAAGAATCGATGGAGGGGGGGTGATGGGTAGTTGAAGAAATAATGATAACAATGTTCCCAAAGCGATGAAACCATAAATCCAAGATCCAAGAAGTTCAATGATCCCCAAAACAGAAACATGAAAAAAATGATACCATGATATATTGCAATCAAATTGCCCAAAACTAATGATAAAAAGTTTAACACAATAAGGGGGCGAAGGAAAAAAGAAATGTTTTATACAGGGGAACAAAGATGAGGATGAGATCAGATTTCTCTTAGAAAAAAATGTAAGCAGGAAGACAATAGAGGAACATATTTAAAGCACTGTGGAGAAAAATCCAGCAAAAATACCTTTTAAAGCAAAGACACAATGAAGACATTTGCAGACATACAAGAATTCATCAGCTAGTTAAAGAAAGCCCTTGAGGCAGAAGTAAAATAACAGCAGATAAAAATTTAGATTTACACAAAGGAATGATGAGTATCAGAAGTGGTAACTGTATTTTCTCTCATTACTTAGATTCCCTTAAAAGATAACTGGGCCAGATGCAGTGGCTCATGCCTGTAATTGCAGCACTTTGGGAGGCCCAGATGGGTGGATCACCTGAGGTCAGGAGTTCAAGACCAGCCTGGCCAACATGGTAAAACCTCGTCTCTACTAAAAATACAAAACTTAGCTGGACGTCAGGAGTTCAAGACCAGCATGGCCAACATGGTAAAACCTCGTCTCTACTAAAAATACAAAACTCAGTTGGACGTGGTGGTGCGCACCTGCAGTCCAGCTACTCAGGAGGCCGAGGTGGGAGAACTGCTTGAATCTAGGAGGTGAAGGTGGCAATGAGCCAAGATTTTGCCTCTGCACTACATCCTGGGCAACAGAGTGAGACTCTGTCTCTAAATAAATACATAAAGTAAATAACTGACTGTTTAATTAACATAACAATGCTATAGATTGTGTGTGACATCAATACCACCTGTAAAAGTAAAATGAACAATGGTGTAAAGACCAAGAGGAGGAGAAAGACCAAGAAGCTACTGTAAGCTTCTTCTACTCTAAAAAAAATGGTACATTACTTGAGAATAAGCTATGATAATTAAAGTTGCATATTATAAATTCGAATTCACTAAAATAACAAAACAGTGTGATAGCTAAAAACCCAATAAAAGATATAAAATAGAATCATAAAAAAATTCTCAATTAATGAAAAGGAAGGAAGATAAAGGCACTTTAAAAAGAAAGGATGAGACGAAAAGAAAACAAAGACAATGAACTCTAACCTAACTAGTTTCATCAATAATCACATTACATGTAAATGATCTATATATCCCCAATTGTGAGACAGAAATAGACTGGAAGAAAATAAGCAAGATCCAAATATTGTTGCCTACAAGAAATAATCCTTTAGATATAAAAATGCAAATAGGTTAAAAGTAAAAGGATGGAATAGGATACACCATGCATGCATTACTCAAAAGAAAGCTACATAAATAACAAAGTACATTTCAAAGCATGGAATATTACCAGGAATAAGGAAGGCCATTTTACAAAGCGGTTAATTAATCAAGAGGAATATTTTCCCTCCTTTTTTTCTTTTTGTTCTCTTTTTTTTTTCTTTTTATATAATCTTGAATATTTATGTACCTAAGATAATACATAAAGCAAAAAGTGGTAGAATTGCAAAGAGAAACAGAAACACAATCGCATATTTCAATTCCCTCAGCCCCACAATTGATACAAGTAGGCAGACAATCAGCAAGGATATGGTACACCTGAACAACACAACCAACCAACTTTATCTCATTAACATTTATCAAACACTCCACCCAACCAGAGCAGAACAAGCCATCTTCTCATTTGTGCATGGAATTTTTGAAAAACAGGCCCTATTCTGAGCCATAAATTTAAGAGGTTTCATGTAATATTCTAGACAAAAATTCACGATCTAAATCTAATCATGAAGAACGATCAGGGAAACCTAAATTTAAAGACTTCCTATAAAATCGTTGGCCTGGGTCGAGCATGGTAGCTCACGCCTGTAATCTGAGCACTTTGGGAGGTTGAGGTGGGTGGATCACCTGATGTTAGGAATTCGAGACCAGCTTGACCAACATGGTGAAACCCTGTCTCTACTAAATACAAAAAATTAGCCAGGTGTGGTGGTGTATGCCTGTAGTCCCAGTTACTTTGGAGGCTGAGGCAGAAGAATCACTTGAACTTGAGAGGCGGAGGTTGCAGTGAGCCAAGACTGAGCCACTGCACTCCAGCCTGGGCAACAAGAGCTAAACTCTGTCTCAAAAAAACAAAAACAACAACAACAACAAAATCCACATTGGCCTGTATCCTTCAAATATTATAATGGCATTGACGAACAAATCCATATTAAACAGACTTAAAAAGCATGAAAGCTAAAGGCAATTCATAGTCCTAGACTGACTCTTCTATCAGAAATTAATAATGTAAAGGAAATTATTGAGAAACTGGAAAATGAACTGTAGTTTGGCTAAAAGTATTGAATCAATGATAAATTTCCTGAATTCAATTACTGTGCTATGGATATTTAATAGAATGTTCTTGATTTTATAAGGTATAATGCAAACTTTATAGGGTAAAGGGACATGACATATACCCACTCTCAAATAGTTCAAAAAACAAACATATATATATATACACACATATATATATATATATATATACACACACACACACACATATACATATATATATGATAACACACATATGCATATAAATGACAAGGAAAAATGTTACAAATGGAGTAACTGAACAAAAGGAAGTATCTGGGATTTCTTTGTAAAATCTCTGCAATTTTTCTGAAAATTTGAAATGATTTCCAAAAAAAATGTTCAATTGAAAATAATGCTGTCACTCCAGCCTGGGCAAAGAGAATACATCTCTTTAAATCCACAAGTAACAAAATTGGTTTCTTCTTATAATCAATGGAAGCAATGTCATGGATGGTGATATGGTTTCAGTTTGTGTCTTCACCCAAATCACATGTCAAGTTGTATTCCCCAATGTTGGAGGTGGGGCCTGGTGGGAGGTGATTAGATCATAGGGGAAATTTCCTTTTTGTTGCTGTTCTCCTGATCCTCAGTGAGTTATCCCAAGATGTGGTTGTTTAAAAGTGTGTAGTACTTCCCTCTCTCTCTTCCTCCTGCTCTGGTGATGGAAGATGTACCTACTTCCCCTTCACCTCCCACCATGACTATAAGTTTCCTGAGGCCTCCCCAGCCATGCTTCCTACTCTAAAGCCTGCAGGCATAAGCCAATTAAACCTCTTTTTAATTTATTTTTTGAGACAGTCTCACTTTCACCCTTGCTGGAGTACACCCAGCCAAACCTCTTTTCTTTATCAGTTACTCGGTCTCAGTTATTTCTTTATCGCAGTGTGAGAATGGACTAATACAGGTGGAATTTTCCTTTTGTGATAACTGCCAAGAATATAAGTCCTGGGTGCTGGTCAAGTTCAACAGCCTTAAAATATAATGCCCATACATAAGAGCTTCACAAATCATTTTTGGTGCTGCTCTGCCACACTATATTTTACATGATAATACCTATTTCCACATTCCCATTTTAAAGTATGAATCCTGGCTGGGTGCAGTGGCTCATGCCTGTAATTCTTAGCACTTTGGGAGGCCAAGGTGGGAGGATCATCTGAGGTCAGGAATTCAAGACCAACCTGACCAACATGGTGAAACTCTGTCTCTACTAAAAATAAAAAAAGTAGCCGAGCAAGGTGGCGCACACCTGTAATCCCAGCTACTCAGAAGGCTGAGGCAGGAGAATCACTTGAACCCAGGAGGCAGGGGTTGCAGTAAAACACAATCAAAACAGAACAAGACTCCATCTCATTTAAAAAAAAAAAAAAAAAAGGGTGAATCCTCATGAACCTCTTGAAATGCATCATAAAATAAAGTGGAAGAACATATACATAAGCAGGACACCTCACCTGCAATTTGTTCATTTTCTGCTGCTCTCGGAAATGTGCAGACTGTGGCTGGTAGACCTAAAGGGAGAGAAGCAGGTCATTGAAGTCATAAGGGCTCTGGCCTGCAAAAGCAGGAATCTCCTGTGTTAGAACCACAAAAGAAAGCTCAATAGGCTAACACCCTGTGAACACTCAGCCTGCAAACACTCAGAAGGGCCTAAAAGAGTGATACAGGGTTTTGCCATGTTGGTCAGGCTGGTCTCCAATTCTGGCCTTGAGAATAAGCTACGATCTGTCTGCTTTGGCCAACATGGTGAAACTCTGCCTCTGTCACCCACCTGTAGTCCGAGCTACTCAGGAGGCTGAGGCACAACAATCCTTTGAACCTGGGAGGTGGAGGTTGCAGTGAGCCGATACCACGCGGCTGCACTCCAGACTGGTCGAGAGACACTGTCTCAAAAAAAGAGGGAAGGGGGAAGCATGCACTTGTAAGTTTGTAACTCTAAGATTATCAGGTGGTAATTAGGTGAGTTAGACTCTTGAGGGTAGCATGACTCCTTTTACAAATAGTCTGCCATCATCAAATACAATGTACAAAAAGAAAAAAAAATTCCATTATATGGCTCAGGATTTTTGTGGTTTGTTTGAGACAGGATCTCACTCTGCCACCCAGGCTGGAGTTCAGTGGTGCATTTATGGCTCACTGCACCCTCAACCTCCTGGGCTCCACCGATCTTCCCGCCTCAGCCTCCTGAGTAGTTACGACCACAGGTGCATGCCACCATGCCTGGCAACTTTTACATTTTTTGTAGAGTTGGGGTCTCCCTATGTTGCCTAGGCTGGTCTCCAACTCCTGGTCTCAAGGGATACTTCTGCCCTGGCCCCTGAAAGTGCTGGGATTACAGGTGTGAGCCACTGCATCTGTCCTGTGTTTTCTTATTGTCTCTTCAAATTGCTTAAAATCAAAGAAAGAAGCCACAGGAATTGAGAACGTGAGCTCTCAGAAATGAAGTTAATGTGTATAAAATATGGTTTCGTTTCTAAATTATCCAACTAAACTTGATTATTACGGCACCTAACAATCTCTTATTAAGAAAACTAGGGGCTGGGTGCAGTGGCTCATGCCTGTAATCCCAGCACTTTGGGAGAATGAGGCGAGCGGATCACCTGAGGGTGGGAATTGGAGACTAGCCTGACCAACATGGAGAAACCCTGTCTCTAGTAAAAAATACAAAAACAGCCGGGCGTGATGGCGGATGCCAGGAGGCTGAGACAGGAGAATCACTTGAACCCAGGAGGCGGATGTTGTGGTGAGCCAAGATCGCACCATTGCACTCCAGCCTGGGCAATAAGAGTAAAACTCCCTCTCAAGAAAATAAATTAAAAAATACTAGGATACAGGAGAAAGAACACTGGTCTGGGAGACAAGACTCATGAGTACGGCCAGGCGCGGTGGCTCACGCCTGTAATCCCAGCACTTTGGGAGGCCTAGGTGGGCGGATCACGAGATCAGGAGTTCGAGACCAGCCTGGCCAAAATAATAAAATCCTGCCTCTACCAAAAATATAAAAAATTAGCCAGGTGTAGTGGCACGCATCTTTAACCCCAGCTACTCAGGAGGGTGAGGCAGGAGAATTGCCTGAAGCCGAGGGTAGAGGCTGCAGTGAGCAGAGATCGCAATACTGCATTCCAGCCTGGGGAACAGAGCAAGAGTCCGTCTCAAACAAACAAACAACAAGATTCCTGAGTTCTACTATGAGCAACTCTACCCACAAACCCGGTGACCCGATCAATTCGCCCACCTGCTAAGGCCCAGTCTCCTCCCCTAGAAACTGAGGCAGCAAGAGATAATTCCTGTAGACCGTTCCTGCATGACTACGATTCTACAGGGCAGATCTAAGGGGGGAATCAGCAGACACTTAAATGAGAGAACAGAGGTGCTGGCGGACGTTTAGAGACGGTCGCAATCAAGAGCTCGGAGAGGAGGAGTAAGTGCAGCTGGTGTGAGATGGGAGTGGAGACAACTTCTGCAGCAGAGACTGGTGACACCGTCCACGCCCCCTTAAGCCTCCTCCTCCCAGAGCTTCCCATGCAGCGCCTGTTCCTTGCAGCCAGACCCCGTCCTCAAACCCAAACACCCGTCTCTCCTGCAAGCGATCGGGACCCTCCCCCTGCCCCACACGCGGTGACTTCACCCAGGCCTTTCTCGTTCCGGGCCCGAAAACCCACAATCTACCTTCCTGGGGCTCCGGAGCCTCTGCCCACGGCTCCCGAGAGTCCGGGGCGGGGCTGCTGTCGCGGGTGCAGGTCTGCTTGCGAGGTTCCCTCCAGTCCACCTCACCAAGGCCGTTCTGCTCCCGAGGGGCCCGGGCCGGGCCTACAGGACAAATCCAGGCTGGTGTCCTTTCAGGGGCTGAGATCCGCCTCCCTGAGGCTCACCGTCCCGCGGACCCTGGGCCAGGCCCGGGTCCCGCTGCCCCTTCGCCTCCGCCGCCACCTCCGCCACTTCCCGCCGGGATCCTTGGGCCCCACCGCTGACTACGCCGGGGGCTCGCGCTCCGGATTCCCCGCTCGATCCTCTGCCCTGCCCGCGCGAATCCTGGCCTGCACAGCTCCGCGCCCGCCCAGGTGCTGCCCGGGGCAGTAGACGTCTAGCCCCGCAGGCTCCGCGATTCTCGTCCACCAGAGGCCAAAGCCTGGGAACCAGAGACAGCGATGACCCCGGCACGCACAGGAAGCGAGGCCAGCGCGGCGGTAGCGGCGCCCATACGCGAACACGCACACAGGAAGAAATGCACATGCGCAGGAGTGCACCGGAAGTCCGCCTCTCGCGGCCCCCCGCAGGTCCCAGGACAAGTACCGGGACTCCATTTCCCGTGAGCCTACGCGCCCCCCAAGTTTAGGGACCGTTTTAAAAGTCTCTATCTCGTCTAACGGTTAAGACGCTCCAGGCTACGAGTTTGGCAGCCCTGAACCCCGGACTGAACTTCGCATTTGTCTTTACTCCCTTTTAGGTCAAGTCCAAGGCTGCGTGATTGGGTCCTGGAGCCCAAGTCCTCTCCTTGCCCTGCAAAGCTTTGGGTTAGAACCGAGTTTCCCATAACAAGAAGGAAAGGAAAGGAAAGGAAAGGGTGTATCATGGTCACTTAGCTGAAATGCCAAGAGAAGTTTCACTCAAATACTAGAACAGGATAAATGCCCAGCGATGATTTCCAAGGAAGAAAAGGAAAATAGAATTTGTAGCTTTTCTGGATCATACAGCGAATGCCTAAAAACTGTAGAAAAATCCGGAAATACGCACACAAATCGAACAAGAAAAGAGATACCTCTGATCTTACCTTTCCAAGAGGATTGTATTTAGGGTTAGGTTCTGTTGACCAAAAAGAGTCAAAGTCTGTAAAACAAAGACTTTTATTCTGAGCCTCCTATTTCAGTGACCATAGCTGGTGACACAGCCTCAGAGGTTCCTGAGAACATGAGCCCAAAGTGGTTGGGTTACAGCTTGGTTTTATACATCTTAGGGAGACAGCAGTTGCAGGCTCACGCCTGTAGCCCCAGGACTTTGGGAGGGTGAGCTGGGAGGATCCCTTAAGGCCAGGAATTAAAGGACAACCTGGGCAACATAGGGAGACCCCACCTCTACCCCCCCCCCCAAAAAAAAGAAAAAATTATTCAGGTGTGGTGGTGTATGCCCATAGTCCCAGCTACTCAGGAGGCTGAGATGAGAGGACTGCTTGAGCCTGGGGTGTTGAGACTACAGTGAGCCGTGATGGTGCCACTGCATTCCAGCCTGGGAAACAGAGAAGAAAAAAAAAAGACAAAGACAGAAAGACATGAAAGAGGAAAGAAGGAAGGAAGGAAGAAAGGAAAGATGAAAGGAAGGAAAGAAGGGAGGGATGCAGGGAAAGAGAGGAAAAGAGAGAGGGAGGGAGGGAAAGAGAGAGGAAAAGAGGGAAGGAGGGAGGGAAAGAAAGAAAAAGAAGGAAAGAAAGGAGGGAAAAATATCCCAGCATTTTGGGAGGCTGAGACAGGTGGATCACGAGGTCAGGAGTTCAAGACCAGCCTGACCAATATGGTGAAACCCCGTCTCTACTAAGAATACAAAAATTAGCCAGATGTGGTGGTATGTGCCTGTAGTCCCAGCTACTCGGGAGGCTGAGGCAGGAGAATCGCTTGAACCTGGGAGGCGCAGGTTGCAGTGAGCCAAGATCATGCCACTGCACTCCAGCCTGGGCAATAGAATGCAGTGGCACTTTTGACAGAGTGCAAAATAAATAAATAAATAAATAAATAAATAAATAAACTGGTAGAGAAAGGATAAAAGTGAATTCTTCTGCAAACCAAGAATGTTCTCTCCACAAATTCAGAAAATAAACAATTTTGTTATTGAATAAGTATTAAACAAGACTGTGATGATGTGATGCCCATCACAGGTGATCCATTAATGAGGTGCCAAGAGAAATAAAGCCTCCTTTTTTTTTTTTTTTTTTTTTTTTGAGAGGGAGACTTGCTCTGTCGCCCAGGCTGGAGTGCAGTAATTCTAGAGTTCAAATGCTGGGGTTCAAGTGATTCTTCTGCCTCAGCCTCCAGAGTAACTGGGATTGCAGGCATGTGCCACCACTCCCGGCTAATTTTTTTGTATTTTGGGGTTTCGTCACATTAGCCAGGATGGTCTCGATCTTCTGACCTCGTGATCCACCCGCCTCGGCCTCCCAAAGTGCAAGGATTATAGGCATGAGCCACCGAGCCCGGTCAAAGCCTCCTTTTTGTATAGCCTGGCAGATATAATCCATTGCATACACATTCTCAAGATAAAAACAGTAACTCATCCTCATATAAAAGGACTTGCTATGCATTTTTTGCGGGGGAGGGGAACAGGGTCTCATGTCATCCAGGCTGGAGTGTAGTGGCACGATCTTGGCTCACTGCAACCTCCACCTCCTGGGTTCAAGCAATTCTTGTGCCAAAGCCTCCTGAGTAGCTGGAATTACAGACATGCACTGTCATGACCTGCTAATTTTTGTATTTTAGTAGAGACAGGGTTTCACCATATTGGCCAGGATGGTCTCAAACTCCTTCTTTCGATTTGTGTGTGGCTTCAAGTCATCCACCATGTTGGCCTCCCGCAGAGTAATGGGATTACAGGTGTGAGCCACTGCGCCTGGCCTACTATGCATTCCTAAAGACTCATCCTAAATTCACCTGGTAATCAAGGTGGCCATCCGTGCTAGTTAATTACCTGTATCCAATGAAAAATTAAAACTTCTTGTATCTCCTTGACAAACAGGTAGTAACAGCTCAAGGTACCTAGGCTAAACTCCCTAGGCAACAGGGAGATGGGGACACTATCTTCCTCCAGGTTTACTTTTCAGAGAAGATTCTCAGGCCCTTAAGAAAAAAGTTCCTGGGCTATAATGTTGGCAAGAAGTTTATTTACCTTTTTAAAAGATTGACATACGCTGGGCACGGTGGCTCACACTTGTAATCCCAGCACTTTGGGAGGCCGAGGCGGGTGGATCACGAGGTCAAGAGATCGAGACCATCCTGGCCAACATGGTGAAACCCCGTCTCTACTAAAAACACAACAATTAGCTGGGTGTTTGGCACGTGCCTGTAGTCCCAGCTACTCAGGAGGCTGAGGCGGAAGAATCACTTGAACCTGGAAGGCGGAGGCTGCAGTGCTCCAGCCTGGCAACAGAGCAAGACTCTGTCTCAAAAAAAAAAAGAAAAAGAAGATTGACATACATATCAAAGGCACAAAACAAGTTATTTATATTACAAGTTTTATCAAGAAAAAACTCTTTGAAAAGGGGAGAGGAGAAAAGGTCAATTTACCTTTTGGCAAATCAGACAAATTTATTCTTTTTTTAAAAAAAAAAAAAGAAAATCCATATAGTAAGGGCTGGGGGTTGTGGCTCACATCTGTAGTCCCAGCACTTTGGGAAGCTGAGGCAGGCAGATTGCTTGAGCCTGGGAGTTTGAGACCAGCCTGGGCAACATGGCAAAAGCCCATCTCTACTACAAATACGAAAATTAGCTGGGCACGGTGGTGTGCGTCTATTGTCCTAGCTACTCTGGAGCCTGAGAATCTTGAACCTGGGAGTGGGAGGTTGCAGTGAACTGAGATGGTGCCACTTCATCCAGCCTGGGCAACAGAGCGAGACTCAGAAGGAAAGAGGGCAGGAAGGAAGGAAGGGAGGGAGAAAGGGAGGAAATCCATGCAGTGCAAACAGCAATATCCAAGAAGTTGGTAAAAGGAAAATAAATGTGTTTCTAAAAATAATATTGCAGGCCGGGCACAGTGGCTCATGCCTGTAATCCCAACACTTTGGGAGGCTGAGGCGGGCGGATTGCCTAAAGTCAGGAGCTCAAGACCATCCTGGCCAAAATGGTGAAACCCCGTCTCTACTAAACATACAAAAACTAGCTAGGTGTGGTGGTGTGTGCCTGTAATCCCAGCCTCTCAGGGAAACTGAGGTGGGACAATCGCTTGAATCCGGGAGGTGGAGGTTGCAGTGAGATCTTGCCATTGCACTCCAGCCTGAGTGATAGAGTGAGACTCTGTCTCTAAATAAATTAATTCATTAAATAATGCAGATGGGATAATGAGCACAGTATATTTTAACATAAGAACACACTTTCAAAAATATGTGAATTATAGATTACGTCATTCTTACAAGCCCAAAAGGATATTTTTTTTAAAACAACAACATAAAATACTATGAACAAACACACCAGAAAGGTACATGCTCTTAAAAATTGTGTAAAAATTGGCCAGGCGTGGTGGCACATGCCTGTAATGCCAGCACTTAGGGAGCCCACGGCAGGCGGATTACCTGAGGTCAGGAGTTCAAGACCAGCCTGGGCAACATGGTGAACCCCTCTCTCGATTAAAATACAAAAGATTAGCCAGCTGTGGTAGTATGCACCTGTAATTCCAGCTACTTGGCAGGGTGAGGCAGGAGAATCATTTGAACCTGAGAGGTGAAGGTTCCAATGAGCTGAGAATGTGCCACTGCACTCTAGCCTGGGAGACAGAGTGAGACTCTGTCTCAGGAAAAAAAAAAAAAAATTGGGTAAAATTGAAACCCTACATATTCCAATGTACGTTTTCCCGGGAGTAAGTATAGGTTTGACTGGATCCATCTCAGGGAACGTCTCTGTGTTTGGCAAGTTAGGGAACTTTTCTCTGATGTTGTTTTCTCATCTGTACTTAGAGACTCATAATTCTTTTTTTTTTTTTTTTGGNTTTGGAGATAGAATCTTACTCTATAGTCCAGACTGGAGTGCAGTGGTGGCAGGATCTCAGCTCACTGCCACCTCCGCCTCATGGGTTCAAGTGATTCTCCTGCCTCAGCCTCCAAGTAGCTGTGACTACAGGCACACGCCACCATGCTCAGCTAATTTTTGTATTTTTAGTAGAGACAGGATTTCAACATGTTGGTCTGGATGGTCTCATGATCTGCCTGCCTTGGCCTCCCAGAGTGCTGGGATTACAGGCATGAGCTGGGACAGGGAACAGAAGGATGCCAACAGTGAAGATGCTTTTGGACAACGGTCTGAGGTTGGGACAGTGGCAGGAGACACCATTGACCCCAGGACACCATTTACTCCAGGAGATCTAGACACTATTAACCCTGGATCTCCAGGACAAGAGAGCAGCCTGGCAGTTACATGTGTTTTTCTTCAAACTGGTTGCCAGGTTGGAATGACCGATGACATCAGAGATTCCAGCCTTCCTGATTGGACCACACTCCGTGGGCGCTCGGAAACTCAGGTGCACAACAGCATCTTCTCAGAGCTGTTCTCCACTCCCAACTTGCCCCAGCCTTGAGAAGAGATAACGCACTTTTACTGGTCCTAATAGAGTGTGGGAAAAGGCTTTGGACAGAACAGGCACCAGGTTCCGTGGGAGGGAATAGAGTTTGGGAGACATCATGGCCAGGTGTCAACTGCAGCCGCAGCTTGATGAGAGGAGCCCCCAGCCTAGCACCTCGGGGTACTCCCTCCTGGAGGTGATAGATAATGAAGTGCCAGGACCATCAGGTGAGGGGACTGGAGGAAGAAGAGATGGGAGGGGATTGGCTAAGAAGAAGGAAGGGGGCCGGGCAAGGTGGCTCACACCTGTAATACCAGCATTATAGGAGGGTGAGGTTGGGTGGATCACCTGAGGTCAGGAGTCAGAGATAAGCCTGGCCAATACGGTGAAACTTTGTCTCTACTAAAATACAAACATTAGCTGGGTGGTAGTGGTGCGTGCCTGTAATCCCAGCTACTTGGGAGGCTGAGGTATGAGAATCGCTTGAGCCTGGGAGGCTGAGGTTGCAGTGAGCCGAGATCGCGCCCATGCACTGCAGTCTGAGTGAAAGACTGCGACCCTGTTTCAAAAAAAAGGAAGGGCCCACAAGTCAGGAAGAAGCTCCTGAGGAGGGTGTGTGGGAAGAAAGGTGGGGACTCAGGCCGGGTGCAGTGGCTCACACCTGTAATCCCAGCATGCTGGGAGGCTGAGGCAGGCGGATCACTTAAAAACTGGAGTTTGAGACAGCCTGGCCAACATATTGAAACTCCATCTCTACAAAAAGTACAAAAATGAGCTGGGTGTTATGACAGGCACCTGTAAGCCCGGCTACTTGGGAAGCTGAGGCAGGAGAATCACAAGAACCCAGGAGACAAATGTTGTAGTAAGCTGAGATTACATCACTACACTCCAGCTCAGGGTGTGACAAAGCAAGACTCTGTCTTAAAAAAAAAAAAA